AACCAGAGGAAATGCTCTTCCTTCCTTTTGTAGTTAAAATGAAATGTGGTATTTGTGACCCACAGACTCTCTGGGGCTGGAGTCTTCAGGAATGGCTCCCTCTGGGGTCTGGGCTGAAGCCTTTTTTACACCCTCTGCACCTCTGTACCAATGCCAGCTGGCATTTCCTGAGTGTGTAGTTTGTGCAAGGCGGTGCTGCATTCCTTGTGCATAGTGCCTTGCTTTATCCTCCTGACAGCTCAAATGAAAAACGAAAGAAAACAAAAACCCTCTTACACTGCTGTTGAGTTGGTTCCCACTTACAGAGACCCTCTGTTGGGTTTCTGAGGCTGTAAATTGCAACAGGTGACTGCTCAGTTTTTCTCTCACAGAGCTGCTGGTGGCTTCAATCCACCTGACACGCACAGCTTTGGGTTTAGTAGTACCAGTCCCTACAGACTGCTGCCAGTGCTCCCTTTATTCATGAAAACTAGTCAAGTATTGTGTCCCCATTAGACAGATGAGGAAACTGAGTCATCTAGACACTGTGCAACCTACCCCACAGTTAATAAGTGAGACCATGGTGCAAACCAGACAGCGTGTGTTCACAGTCTAGGTACCTAACCAGTGCACTAAACTACTTCTGGACATATATTCTTGCTTCCTGCCTCACTGTGAACTTCATCTTCCACCGCCTCACAAGCTTCACTTGTCAGTGCCCCAAATCCAACTACCTAAGAGAGTCACCTCGGGCTGTTGCATTGATTCAACTCAAGCTATAAATCTTAACAGGAGGGGACTACCTCAGCATTCTTGTGCAGAGTGACTGGCAGTTTTGAACTGCCAACCCTTTGGTGATGGTAGTCCAGAACTTAACCTAGTACACTAGAGAGATGGTTTGACAGTGTCTGTAACCACAAGCCCAAGCACAGAAGCCATCATGAGGAGGGTGTAAGACTGGGCAGTGTGTCGCTCTGTTGGACTTGGGATCACTTTGAGTTTAGAACCAACTAGACACCCAATGAGAGAGTCTGTCGTATCAGCATGCTTCAGGTCAGATGTCTTCTTTTTGTTGTGCTGGTGCAGGCGAGAGAGGTGGGGTCAGTACCATAGGATTGCTTGACCACAACTTTAATAGAAGGACCACACACATCGGAGGAAGACACGGGTGAGGATCCTTGTAGAAGCCAACAATGCCAAGAAACACCCAGGACTACAGAGCATGGAAGAGGCGAGGAACCTTCTTCCCCTAGAACAGAGAGAGAGGGGAAGAAAAAGGTGTTGGTTCTGCTGAAGTCCCTGTTTGGGACTTCCGTCATCAGAATTTGAGAAAATAAAACTTACATTTTATAAAATCACCTGTGTTGTTGCAGATTGTCAGGGCAGCCCTAGAGAACGAATAGAAGAGCTGGTGGCGTAGTAGATTGTGTGTTAGTCTCCTAACTGAAGGGTCAGAAATTCAAGTACATTAACAGCTCCTCAGGAGGAAGATGGGCTGTCCACGACCTTTATGACTTA